TAATGTAGTATATTTTTTCTCAGTATATAGTAGGTATTTATAATATGTATATAATAACGTGTATATAAAAAAAAGTATTTATTATTAAATTGTCAAAGTGATAATCCTGTTGAAGGACTTACAAGTCCGAAATTTTGAAAATAAAAAGTTGTACAAGAAACTTAACCCTTGAAGCTTTATCTATATATATAAAATTGAATGTCTGTGTGTCTGTCTGTCTGTCTGTGTGTGTGTCCTCTATGGATTCGAAAACCATACATCCAATCGCCGTGAAATTTCGGGATATTATTAGGCATATCCCCGGAAAGGTTTACGAAAAATAATATCTTGAATATCTTTAATATCCTTAGAGTTATTTGCAGATTTGTAGCTTTAACTCGCAAGCAGCGCCACCATTGAGACGGAGATAGGCTTTTTCAAGAGGGGGAGTAATGTTAGGAGAGAGGAGCGCGTCTCGAGGCGGGTGCTCACGTGTCACTGTTAAAAACCTATTTGTTTTGGCTACATCTTTTCCCGTGGACTTAACGATAACTTTTCTAAAACTTATATCAAATTTCATGTATAATTATTTTTACATCATTTAGTTTAGTATAATTATTTACTATAATTTCCTATCGTTCAATTATTATACTTTTTGTTCTTAAAGATTATTTAAGACAATAATCTTTAATTAGAAAGTTCTTTGCCAAAAGTTTGGAGTGGGGCAGACCCCGTGCGAGAATGGATTCGCCCGGCCGCCGGCCGACAGTCAAAGTACCCACCGACCAATCAGGGCAGAGTTGGCAACACAGCTATGCCAAGTAGACAAGAAAAAAAGCCTCGCGGGAGCTTGCCCAAGATGACCTCCGGGAACTTCGTCCATCTTCCATAAACGACCATGAATTTATTCAACCTTATCGAGTATTTTTCAAGGGACCGGGAAAAAATGTTCACTAGATAAAACGATGATTTTGTAATGTAGAAAATTAGGAAAGACAAAATTCAGGATGACACGGCACACAGGGACCGGGAAAAAATAATCACTTTATCGAGAGATTCACGACCATGATTTTATTCAACTTATCGAGTATTTTTCAAGGGACCGGGAAAATATGTTCACTAGATAAAACGATGATTTTGTAATGTAGAAATTTATGAAAGACAAAATTCAGGATGACACGGCACACAGGGACCGGGAAAAAATAATCACTTTATCGAGAGATTCACGACCATGATTTTATTCAACTTATCGAGTATTTTTCAAGGGACCGGGAAAATATGTTCACTAGATAAAACGATGATTTTGTAATGTAGAAAATTATGAAAGACAAAATTCAGGATGACACGGCACACAGGGACCGGGAAAAAATGTTCACTTTATCGAGAGATTCAAATTTACGAGTTTCAAATTATCAAAATATATTTTTTTTTTTTCAAGTTTATAGAGAATTGTTTTAACAAATGTTCGTTAGACAAACCTTTACTCGGGTAAAACCTCGGGCGAAGCCGGGTACGTCCGCTAGTTTATTTTATAATATGTTTCTTTTAACAAATTTTAATTGACAAACCTCTAGCACGAAAGCCATTCTACAGTAGAAAACACGACAGATCGCCAATAGGACAAGAGTTTAATTATAATCAAATACTATTTTGTATAATTTTATAAAATGCTGTATTTATAGAATTATCATATATCCTTGTTTATTATATTTAAAATTTATTATACAAATGGCGACAAAATATTAAAACATAATTAAAAAGGCATATTTTGATCCAATATATGCCTTTTTATTTAATTATTTATTTATGGATTGCTCTATTTTAAAAAATATTAAACATATTTCAAATAAATGAACAAATAAATTAATATAGACGTCTGAACCCATTACTCCAACATCCACAATGAACAACAGACTCTCCCTGGAATCCATCATGACGAGAAAAGACAGAAATTTACAACATACCATCTCTTGAGTAGGAATAATTAAACCAGATGTGCATATCTCTTAACAATAACAACGGTTTATAGGTAATTATTGATTTCATATTTCAGACGTCTATATTGATTTATATGTTTTTATATATGTATTGTTTAAAATTTTGTTGCCATTTGTATAATTAATTATAAAATAATAAAAAAGAAATATATGAAAATTCTGCTACAAGATTTCATGAAATTATGAAAAGTTGTATTGGATTATATTGTTCCTCTTGTCCTATTGACGATCTATTATAGCATGTATTCTATTGTAGAACGGCTTTCGTTTTAGAGGTTTGATATAGGCTTAGCAAAAATACGATGTTTCTTTTTTAAGGATTTCTAGTTGTTTTTGTACTCACGTATGTTGTAGTTACGAGGACATCCCTTTAGATAAAAACAAATATTTATTTAAGGAACGACTTGTTCCAATACAAATATTGTTAAAACAAGCTAGCGATAAAACATAACAGAAAGGTTGAAGGTAGAAGTTGGAAGTGACATAAGCATCGATGATGATGAAAGTCAAAGTTTGCGTAACAAGGTTTGTCAGTTAAAATTGCTTAAGAGAAACGTATCTTGTAAAGGTCTAATGTATTTATCTCAACATTGACATAAAGGATTGTTTATTGAGGTGTAATTCCCCATGGGGACTTTTTCTGCCATCAGCTAATTTATAAATTATCTCGTTAGATATTTTATGTATTAATTCGTGTATTTTATAACTTTCTCTTATTTTGAAAACGCATACTATTGAAAGATAATATGATCGCGTAATGAAAAACCTTTTAAAATATTAGTAGAATCAATTTAATAAATTTGAATAATATACTTTTTCAGAATTTAAAAAAAACTGTATTTACAATATATTTATACTAGCGGATGTGTACCCGGCTTCGCCGGGGTTTTTTCCGAGTGAAAGTTTGCCTAACGAATATTATTGGTAATAATATTCGGGAACACACAGAATATTATGATAATAATGATAATATAATTCGTTACGTTATATATTTATATAATATATGAAATTTATTTTTCGAGCAAACATATCCACTCTCTACTGAATAGATTTTTAAAAAGATATACATAAATAAAAATATCTAGAGATATACGACATGATATTAGCCAAAAGGCCGAGAAACGATATTTTATATATAGAGATGACCTGGCTTCGTGTGTCTTCTGCTCGAGTGAATGTTTCGCTGGTAGAATTTTGTTCCTGCCTACTATTAATCATTATCTGGCTTCGCCCGTGGTCTGCTTTAGTGAATATTTCCCAAAATAATTTTTTAATGCAATCAAGCATGATACGGCAATATTGTCATCATCATTTATGACTAAAAAAATATTGTTGCTCAGTACTTGGTTAAATATATTTTTTCTTGGTTAAAGTGCGACAAAAAAACTCTTCCAGATTTAACTCTCTGTCCTGTTCAAATTTCAGCGAGATTAGTTACATAATGAGGGCGTGCATAGCCGACAAACATATATTTATATATGTTCCCGGCTTCGCCCGATTTTTACCCGAGTAAAAGTTTGCTTAACAAACATTTGTTAAAACGATTCTAGCAAACATCCAATCCCTACTGAATCTATACTTGTCTACACTCTAATTTTTTCCCGGTCCCTTGAAAAATACTCGATAAGTTGAAAAAAATCAGTATTAATTGGTCTACTCGGTAATTTGAAGTTTAAGGAATAGTATCTTGCCACAAACGAAGATTTGTAAATAACTGTATTTAGCGAATGTACCCGGCTTCGCACAGTTTTTACCCGAGTAAAAGTTTGCCTAACGAACATTTGTTAAAACGATTCTAGAAAAAATCCAATCCACCTATATATTGATTTATAAACGTATATAAATATAAATATGGTTATATGCGTTTAAATATATTTTTGAAACACATAATATTTTGAAAACATTTATTATATTTTAAATAAGATATTGTCACTTTTGTGAATTTGATAATTAATTATATCTTTTTTCTCAATGAATTATATATATAAACTAGCCGAATGAGACCCGGGCAACGCCCGGGTTTTACCCGATTAAATGTTTTTATTCAAATACTATTCGTTACAATTATAAATTGGCGCCGTGGATGTCACTCTTGTGAAACGTCCCGCTCCAAACTTTGTGTCTGAGAAGCGATATTTTTATAGAAAGATGATCTGGCTTTTGTTTTCTGCTCGAATGAATGTTTTTCTGTTAGAATTTTGTTCCTGCGTACAAAATAATGAACTGGTTTCACCCGTGGTCTCTGCTTTTTGGAATTTTTCCCGGTATAATTTTGTATCTGATAATCAAACATGATACAGCAAAATCGTCATCATCATTTTCTGACTAAAAATATATAGATTTAATAATTGATTTATATATTTTTTAAAATAGCCTATCGTCTTCCCCGTATTTTTTTACCTATGTATGGAAATTTTGGTTTGAATTAGTGAACTACTGCGAATTTGTATACCGGACATACAAACAAACAAACAAACAGACAAACATACAAACATTCATTTTTATATATATATAATATGTACCCGGCTTCGCCCGGGTTTTATCCGAGTGAAAGTTTGCCTAACGAATATTATATATTATGAAGTATAATAAACAATGCTAAAGATTAGTTTTAATTATTAATCAAGATTGTGTGTGAATATGTGAGAAAGATGTAATATCGTTGTTGTTTTCTTGGCCGACTGTTTTACATATGCTGTTATCTTAAAATTGCTTGTTTTGAATATTTTTTTAGATTGAGTTGAATGAATTGCTGATTTTTTTTTTTGTATTTATATATAAATAAAATTAACTCTGTTGAATTTTTTTGTATTTTATCGATAACAGCAAAGTTATGTATTTTAAAGTTAGGAAAAATATTTCGATGTTAAGCAAAACCTGCTCCATCTCGTTTTACATAAATGTTGAAAATTTGGTCGAAATTGATGCATTGTAACGAAAGTTTTTAGCGAACACCACTTATGAAATTTCCATTTATATAGAAGATATGATATAAATGAGTTTTAAAAATTGTTTTAAAAAAAATGCTTCGGCCGGGAATCGAACCCTGGCCGCCCGCGTGGCAGGCGAGCATTCTACCACTGAACCACAGATGCTTTAAAAAAATCAAATTCATTTATCGTCGCGACCAGTGCGGCGCCCTAGCGGTAAAAGACTGGAACTATCGCTTTTTGGTTTTTTATTTTAAAAAAAAAAGCACATTAACTTTTTTAGTTTTTTGAATAGCCTATATGTTAAACGAAATATTCAGCTACCTACATGCGAAATTCCATAATGATTGAGTCAGTATTTATTTATGCTTATGAGGTGATACAGCAACGTCTTTACAATTAGAGAGGAGACAAAATGAATCAAATCTAGAAAAAAGAAGTGAGGACATCTCGGTCATTAAAGTCTGAGAGGCAAGGCCTTCAGCCAGTTCAGGGCTTCCGGGGTGACTGAGTGGAGATTGGAGATTCCTCCATTGAATTTGTACAGCGGACAGTCATCTAGTATATGGGACATTGATTGTGGGACGTTGCAGGCACAATTTGGATCTTTGGTGTAGCCCCATAACTTCATCAGCTCTGCACACCTTCCCTGTCCTGTCCTGTCCTGTGTTTTAATTATTCAAATTATAAATTTTACAAATTGATTTTATGAAATAAGCGCGTATACACTCGTTATATATATTTATATATATATATATTATATATATATATATAAGAAAGCCTATATTGAATTATGAATATATTTTTTACAAAATAATTTAGTTGACCAAAACTCAACTTTTGTCAAGGTACAAAAATCTATTGGTTTTATATAATCAAACTCAGCGCCACATAACGTTCAGCCAGTTGAAAAATTGATGAATAATTTTGCGTGATGCGATAACAAACATCGATTTCGCATTTCATTTTTATATATATAAGGAAGGATTTAAAATTTCATTTTTGTTATCATCATCACATACAATGTATTTTTTTTTATATGAACAAACGATAATAAACAACAACAATTAGGGGCTCAAAAATCATTTATTATGGTTAGCAGCTCCGTAAATAAAGATATTTTCACAACAACAATTGAAGTTGCATCATCATTTTTATAAAACAACAGCAAATTAAATTAACAATGTAAAAATATATTTTAACATATTACATTTTAACATTTAACACAAAATCGTTACATTTTTTTCTTTAAATATATATTAATATTGAAATGCCAAGTATTTTTTACGTCATTGGAATATTATATTACTAAATTCTCAAATTAAATTTATTATACTTGGAAAACATTTTAAGCATTGTTACAATTTATAAATATAATTTCACCAGACGCCGCTAGAGGCGCTGCTTACGAGTGAAAGTAGAAAATTTGCAAATAAAATTGCAAAGAATATTTATTTCAAATCAAATTCAAACCAGAAATCTTCCCAGTAGTATAGTAAATAACTTCCTAAAGTTTCACGGCGATTGGATAATCTTACCTTTTAAAAACATTCATCGTGTGAACAAACTAACATTCATTGTGTAAACAAACCACGTGTTAATTATCAACCAATCAAATTCATTTATCGTCGCGACCAGTGCTGCGCCCTAGCGGTAAAAGACTGGAATTAACCATTTTTGGTTTTTTATTTTTAAAAAAAAAGCACATTTACTTTTTTACTTTTTTGAATAGCCTATATGTTAAACGGAATCTTCAGCTACCTACATGCGAAATTGCATAATGATTGAGTCAGTAGATTTTGCGTGAAGCGATAACAAACATCGATTTCGCATTTCATTTTTATAGATATAAGGATTACCCTTCGAATATATATAACAATATAACTACATTCAAAATTATTCGAAAGCAATTTCTTTAAATGTCGACACAGAGCCGACCGTACTCCTATTGCCATCTATTGAGGGATTTTGTAACTATTTTAACAAACCTTTTTTTTAATTATTCAAATTATAAATTTTACAAATTGATTTTATGAAATAAGCGCGTATACACTCGTTATATATATTTATATATATATATATATATTATATCGTAATTATATAAGAAAGCCTATATTGAATTATGAATATATTTTTTACAAAATAATTTAGTTGACCAAAACTCAACTTTTGTCAAGGTACAAAAATCTATTGGTTTTATATAATCAAACTCAGCGCCACATAACGTTCAGCCAGTTGAAAAATTGGTGAATAAATTATTTTTTATTTAAAATATATACCGAAGAATGAAGAAGTCGGTGTACGAGTGGGTAACACCTTCGATTCCCGACAGTCATGAACCGGGATTGAATCCCGCGTTAACATTTTGTTTAATATATGAATAACCTTCACATATTATTCATTGTTGCAAATATCATAAACTAGGTTGCTCTTTAGAGCGGAACCTATATAAAGTGATTTTTTTTTTGGGGGGGGGGGATATTTCACCATTTTATATAAATATCTATTTATGAATTGCTCTATTTTCTGAGCGATATTTTAGAAAAATATATTTAATTTATTATGTTTGTACTGATAATAAGCTTAAAGATTATTTCTAGGAAAAGATATCTAAATTATAACAGAGGCAGATTCTTAGATAGTCCCAAATAATGGCAGCCAGATAGGGATCTTACCTACAAATATCTATTAGGTTCAGTCCAGGGCTGCCCCATTCAACAGCCAAGCGTGGAGGGCTAGCCTATGGTGGGCAATACATGTAAAAAGCTAAAGAAGTTAAATCAGTATACTGGGTGAGGCAATGTATATTTAATATCAGACATAATTATAGCCACGCTCAATAAATTGAAACAGCAAGTAGGTAAACAGCGTGGTAAGTTTCTTTATTGGGAACTACGAGCTTTCGGACATCAGCTGCCCTTCATCAGGTACAATGGGTGGTTGGAAAAAGTGAACCAATATATACATGCAGTAAATTAGCATAAGAGAAAGCTAACTAACATCTATTTAAAATAATTAAGAAATTTACATAAGAACTAAAGATAAAAGTAAGAAATTTCTAAAAAAAAAAAATACGAAATTTCTAAAAAATAGACTAAAAATCTGTGTATGACGGATAAAAGGTAAAACACGAGAAAAAAGGATGGGAAGACAAGAAAAGCGTAGGCATCTAGGCACAATGAAGGAAGGAAGCGAAATAAGATGTCAGTGGCCAAGTTTAGAAAAAGCAGTATATTGAGGGGGGAGATCTATTTTCCTATTAAAACTAGGGATGGAGTTAGACACGAGAGCCTCCAGGACCAAACGTTGATATTTATTCTTAACTTCACTGTATACCGGAATCGTGTTGCGTAGATTAAAAGAAGGGTTAAATTCGTGGCTGTGTTGATATAGTAGTGACTTACGATCATGGGAACGGATGTTTCGTTCGTGTTCTAGGACACGAGTGGCAATGGTGCGGCCAGTTTCTCCGACGTATGATTGTGGACAGTCGTTGCACGGTATTCTGTAGATGGCATTGGAGAAAGATTGGGGGCTGGGCCTGACGGAGCTTTTTGTGAGGGGATGGCGTAACGATGTGCCTAGGGAAGGTGATTTTTTAAAAAACGTGCGGATGCCAAATTTACGCAGATAAAAACCGATGTCGGAATTCGTAGTAGAAAACGGAAGAACGCAAACATCTTTAAACGGGGGAGGAATAGAACTGTCGTGGTTTGGTGTATAAAAATGTCGATCGATAAAGTTACGTGGGTAACCCGCGGATAAAAGGTGTAGGTAAACGATCCGTTTTTCGATTCTACTGAATAAAGGAAGGGAGCAATGAGTAAAAACGCGCTTAGAAAGAGTTTTCACGGTGGTAATTTTATGGGAGACGGGAGCATGTGATGAAAAATGCAAGTAAGAAGGGGTAAAACCGGCTTTACGAAAAACAGTTGTATGGAAACGACCCTGGAGATTAACCACTAAAACGTCTAAGAACGGGATACAATTAAAACGGGAAGAATTGTGGGTAAAACGTAAATCGGAATGATAGGAGTTTAAAACAGTCAGGATAGGGGAGTGGTCAGTGCTCTGATGCAAACAAAAAATGTCATCGACATATCTCGCCCACATTACTACTCCTAGGTGGATCTGGGAAACTAACCATCGGTCCAAATATGACATTACGATCTCAGCTGCGGTTGTAGAGAGAGGGCTGCCCATGGGGGAGCCTCTTATCTGCAAGAAAAAGCGGCCATTAAACTCTAGGGTGTTCATGCCCAAGCAGATGTTGAACAGCTCTTAAACAACTTTTTGATCTTTGTTAGAGACAGAAGGAGAGTTGAGGAGTGAGCCTAACCCATCAAAAATCAAAGAATGTGGGAGGCTTAGGAAGAGAGATGTGACGTCAAAAGTGGACATAGTGGGGCTGCCAGACTGGGAAAAGTTTTTTAGTTTGGCGATAAAATCAGAGGAGTCCTGAATGGAATAAATATTGTGGGCTTTGACAAGGGGCTTAAGGAAGTTTGAAAGATATCTAGCCAAATGCAAGGCGGGCGAAAGATGATATGCGACGATGGGCCTGAGAGGGATATCGGGCTTATGAGTCTTAGGGAGCCCATAAATATAAGGAATGCTGGAGATGTTGGAGGTGAAAAGCTTGAATTGTTCAGGGGTGATGCAGCCCTTCTTAAGGAGGGACCTGAGTGATGTCCTGTAATTGCCTGAAATGGCCTTGACTCGGTCAGCGGAAATTTCCTGAAATGTATTAGGATCGGAGAGAATGTTGAGCATTTTCTTACTGTAATCTTCCGCTTTCATCAAAACAACCTGTGAACCCTTGTCCGATCTAGTGATGATGGTGTCGCGTTGATTCTTTAGAGCCTTCAGGGTGGTGAGGTCTCTCTTGACAGCACAAGGAAGGGAGAAAGACTTCTTTGAATCAGCAAGGAGTTTGCCAGTGATGGTGGAGCGGATGTGGTGCTTATCTGTCAAGGCCTGGTGCTTCCTAAGGACAATATAGTGAATTTAATGGACACTGAACTCTCCGCACCACAAATATCCCTATTGAAGAAGGGCCTTAATTTCTGCCTACCCAAGAAACCAGATCTTTTGTATACTGTGAGCTGCATCGAGGCCTCACTCCACAGATAAGCACCACATCCGCTCCACCATCACTGGCAAAC